CGTAACCTAACCTGTATTCTATGAAATGTTTTTTTTCTTTTCACGAGTAACGATTTACGAAAAATTTGTTTCACGAAATAAGGTGAACTTTCGATGAAGGTCGTATTATTTATTTTCGTGTTTTCGTCAAAATTTACGAATTCGACATAACCTTACGTTACGAAAGGACATAACCTAACCTGTATTCTATGAAATGTTTTTTTTCTTTTCACGAGTAACGATTTACGAAAAATTTGTTTCACGAAATAAGGCGAACGGTCGTATTATTTATTTTCGTGTTTTCGTCAAAATTTACGAATTCTATTCAGAGTTATTTTCGTTAACGTTTATAAAATGGCTGAAGTTCCTTAAAGAAAAGCACTGTCTCTCTATCTTAAATTTAGTCTCGTCGAAGCACATAACCTAACCTGTATTCTACGAAATGTTTTTGTTTCACGAGGAATGATTTAATGAAAAGCTTGTTTCGTGAAATAAGGTGAATGTAAAAGTAAACAGACCGAAGTTGATGTTTGTTCGAGAAGTGACAACGAAGAAAAGACACGCACTTCTCCGGCAGAGGAATTTTGTAAAGTATAGAGTCGTAGCGATGTTTTGTCTGGACGCCAGGGGTGTAACGGTTGTTAGAGCGACGACATTTTCTTTTGAAAGCGGAGGAGAATACATTGCGAAACGGACCGGCGGAGTTTTACAATCGGTAGACTTGTTCAGCAGATTATTGTGCCACCGTTATCGCGCCAGCCAAATGACTTTTTGATGACAGTGTACAGATGTTGGCTTAATGTACGCGACGGCAAACATTCGCGCAACTGCGAGAAATAGTCGCTTTTGCTTTACTGTTTGCTATCGGTCCGCGAGTAATCACGCAGGTGGATTGAAACAACGAAAAATGATAGAATGTAAACACTCGGTGGTATCTAACCTTGAGAAGGCATAGCTTATTTCTTCTCAATTTCTTCTCAATTTCGGATACATAATTCTCGTATTAATTTTCGGTAATTTGATGGCTGTTATTATTTCGGTTTACTTTCATAATTTTTTTTTTTTTACGAATATCTCGTTATTTAACAACGATAAAATATCCATTTCTTTTTCATTGGTTGATTATTTAATAATAAATTTAAATATAAATATTTAATTATTCGATAATAAATTGAAATGCTCCTGCATTTTTACCGTACAAGGAAATAATAATATCAATAAAATTACCCAAAATTAATAATTAGAATAGAATTAGAAATTACACCCTGAAGACGGTCAGAGATCTACCTATAAATATTGCGCAACCCGTCCCAGGCAACATTCCATAAAAATATAATTTCGCAAGCGATCATTCCGATCCACTATACGTAAACATAAATACCTAAAAGCGTCTTCCGTCAATTTCCACCGAAGCGAGTTCCATTCCGATCGATTCCCTCGAAGATTAATGATTCGGGTCACGGGCGAACGGTGGACGATTCAAATGAAAATACGATGCAGATGTACTACGAATTCGAATAAGCACGCGGTTACGTAATAGCAGAAGCATAGGCGAGAGCGTAGAGTTCCTCGATCGCCGACAGTCTTCGACTGGTTCGCGATACCTCGGTCTGGAAACCAGTCGCACGGTTTCTGGAAGAAATCCTTCCAGTCGTTCGAATGTAAATCCAAAAATAAATCTGTCCGTTAGGCGAATCGTTCACAGTTCGGTAATCACGCACCACGTGGAGTTAACGGGGCGCACGTTGCACCGGATGCGACGAAAATCGACGGAAAACACGGAGACCACCGTTTCTCGCCGTTGATCGGTATCCAGGGGCTGACGATACATTCCTGGCGTATCCCTCGGTCTTAAATAGACGAACGGCGGGGGGTGTCGCTTGGCTGGTGTCGCGATGACACGCGACGTGTTTGCATTCGTCAGTTTTGAGCGTTTCGAGGCTCTGGGATCTTTGGCTTTTGGACTTCTGGGCTCCCAGGGTTCTAGATCTCTGGACTTTTGGATTTTTAGGTTCTTAGGCTCTCCTGGACTTTTAGATTTTTAGGTTCTTAGGCTCTCCTGGACTTTTAGATTTTTAGATTCTTAGAGTCCTGCGTTTCTAGGTTTTCCAATTTTTAGATATCCAGGTTCTTGGGCACCTAGACTTTTAGATTTCTAGGTCCTTACTCGTAGACTTTTAGATTCCTGGGCTCTTGGACTCCTGCATTTGTAGATTTTCAGATTTTTAGATTTTTAGATTTTTAGATTTTTAGGTTCTTAGACTCCTAGACTTTTTAGATTTCTAGATTCTTAGGCTTCTGCATTTCTAGGCTTTCAGATTCTTGGATTCTCGAGTTATCAGGCTCCTAGACTTTTAGATTTCTAGGTTCTTACACTCCCAGATTTGTGGATTTTTAGATTCCTAGGTTCCTAGACTTTCAGATTTCTAGGTTCCCAATGCTCCTGCATTTCTAGTCTTCCAAATTTTTGGATTCTTAGACTCCCGGTATCCTGAGCTTCTGGACCCCTAAGTTTCCACACTCCTAAGCTTCTGAACTCCTAGGAATTCTGAATTACTGTAATCTTCTGGATTTCCACACTTTTGGATATTACAATTTTCAAACCACCAGGTTCTCACGCCTCCTGACTTTCGGACACCTAGTCTCCTACTCTCCCAAACTCCTGCCCTTCCAGATTCTCGGGGTCCCCGAGTATCCACAACTCCAAAGTCCATCCATCGCTATTTTTATCCTCGATAAAAATTCTCGATGAAATACACCGATCCGTCGCGTCCGATGTCCACGATGACAACTGACGTCTCCTCCCGTTTCACGCGTCCCGATGAATTCTTCTTTCTCGACGAATTCAGCAAAATTGTTATCATCGAGTGAGCCCGTCCTCTCTGTCCTCTACAGAGCTATCCGGTTACCGGATGTCTTCCAAACGGTGTATTATTCCAGTGTGTGTGTTATTCCGAAATGGTTGACCGATGCCGGCGTTATCGAATCGGTACGCGGGGACCGGTGATCCTCGCTTCGAGCGATAAACAAACCGCAATGTTGCTCGGCTGGTGTCGCGGTGACAACTGAAGTCTCCGGTTTCGCGCGTCCCAACGAGGCTCCCGATACCCCACCAAAGAGTTGTGTTCACCAAAGTCGGGGCACCAGGTGTCGGCGGGCCTCAAATCGCGCGGAGAGCCGCGCAGGTGACGCCGTCCGCCAGGAATGCTTCCACGAAAACGACCCAAAGAAACGCGTACCTTTTTCTTCCCTCCGTAGCCTTTTTCGTTTTCTTTTTTCTTTTCGACCGATCCAAGCGGTATTCCCCGGACTCGACGAGTCAAGAAAGTTTCCGCGCTGGTAACCGCGACGAACTACGTCTGGAGGGGGAGGAAACAAGTTTCGAAACACGTCGAAGGGAAAATAAATAGTGGCGTGAATTTTTGGGTGAGCGAATATCGAGGTAATTTGGTCGCATTAGTTCTGGGAGGTTTTGACAGAAGCATGAGATTTTTTGTGAATTTTTGGATTAGTGAAGATTAAGGTAATTTGATCGAATTCATTTTTGGTGGTTTAGATAGAAGGATGACATTTTTTTGTGAATTTTTATATAGGCAAAAATTGAGGTAATTTGGTCGAATTAATTTTTGGGGGTTTAGATAGAAGGATGACATTCTTTTGTGAATTTTTATATAAGCAAAAATTGAGGTAATTTGGTCGTATTAATTTTGGGCGGTTTAGATAG